AGGCTCTTCCACTTTCGTGATGGGGTTCAAACGGGTCTCCATCGCTACTGCCTCGTACTCGGGACGAGGTTGTTCCTAAAACAGAATAATAAATTGGAGCTTGTACATTTATGGAAAGATGGTCAAATGAAAAACACACTGAACAGGACTGACGGTCAAGTTTTTGCGAGTCTTTTTAAGTAATAAACTCTACCTTGAGTTCAAACGAACACATTTCAGAGATTCGTGAAATTAATATTAATTGCTTATAACACGCAACAAGATCAACAAAAACGTTTACAATTAAAGCACCATTCACAAAACGAAAGAAAAATCGACACGGAGAAGTAAGTAGTGTGGTTTTTTGTTCCTGGATAAATCCTAAACGGCATAAGCTTACCTTGCCGAGCCTAATCTTTGCCTTCTTACAAATAATTAACAAAAGTCATAAATAAATACATTGATTGATTAATTAATATCGTACCTCTTCGTCCTCATATCCCAATAGATCCCATTCGTAAGCAATCTCTGCCTGCCGCCTCTTCCAAAACTCAAGAAACATGGTGGCTGTGTAACAAATACACACATGATCATCAGTAAAGTATTTCATTAACATTACGACCCTGAAAGAAAATCAAAGTTTCCTTTCTGTGAAAGTCACAGACAAAATGGTCCTATCTATGAGATGTTCGGCAATCAATCCATTAGCTATTTTTTCAACTCTTGAACGGGATGGTTCAGTACAAGTTGCCCAAACATTCTGTCAAGTTTCTTTGACTATTCAGCGTTGCCAATATGTATATACTCCCGGATGGAGAGAAGCATTCTCAGAGTGAATCATCTCGCCCAACAACTCAATATAATGACCACACACAGCTTTACAGCTGTCAACAATAGAGCCTCGCGGTCTGACACAGTTTACTACACAAGCAATTATTCTTAAAAATAAAAAAAGGTCTCACCCCAAATCGACATAAAAATGGCAAAAATCACAGTAAACTCATTGTCAAAAACGTAAGCCACCTGAAGAGAATCGAAGAGGGCATTAGTACATGTAGACGATAAAACTGGATAGATAACTTCTGAAAAACGAACTACAAAGATGAATATTTGATGAATAATGTGTTAATTATTATGAATTGTCTCCAAATTCATGGTTTATGCTACATGTAGCCCCTTTAACAAGGGGCTACATCAATTATTAATGGGACACAGGGCCTCACACTGCGGTCATTTGGTCATCATGGTCAGCAGGAAGAAACTGTGGTGCTTAAGTTCAATGTTGCACAAAATTTCTTTCTCTGCTTTCTTCCTTTCTTTCTCCATTTCTTTCCCTTTAACTCCCATGAGTGACCAAGACATAATTTTTCCTTACAATATCAATATAATATCAACCAGATAAGTGATAATAATAAAGAAAAATATCAATTTGGGGATAACTAGTTG